AGAAGGGAGAGATGACAAAATTGTGTCCTCATGAAACAAAAAATAATAATTATAAAAATTGTATTGAAGTTGATAGTGAATGGATGCTCGGACATTTTGATTAATTTATATTTATATATTTTTAATGTTAGAGAGTTAAATAAAAGTAATATTTAGGATTAGAAAATGCATAGGAAAAAACTTTAATGAGAAACTGATTAAGAAAATCAAAAGAGATTTGAGCTCAGTTTGCAATTTTTCAAAATCTTAACTGTATCGCAAACAACATTCTTCATAAACTAAATCGCACCGCATTGAATAAATCGATTCGGCTCGATTTTTCTTTTTTCTTACCCAAAGCCGCCAACCGTAATTTGTTGACTTCGTTATGTTAAACCGAATAGAGATAAAGACTAAATTAGAAACCCCCCATTCTCCACTTATCGTCCAAATGCAAGATCCTCTCAACAATAATATTACGTCATTGCTTGCGCATGCATCAGCACAAATCCGCTACAGACCGCTCTATATAAACCCCGCTACCAGCTAACCACACGATCCCACACACCAGAAACTTCCCGAGATTTTCATCTCATCGACTTGCCCTTGAAGCTTCGGACCTCGACCCAAATGGCTGCATCGTAAACTCTCCATGTTTCTATTTTCTCCTCTTTTGTTTTATTTTGTTTTGATTTTTTTTATATTGTGTGTGTCCGAATTTTGACGTCGATCGAGCCTCTCAGAGTGATTTTCGTTATTTTTTTGTCTTTTTTGTTTTTGTCACTAATTTGTTTTTGGCAGAAAAGATGCTTAATTTCGTGCGTGCTTGTTCATAGTCTGGAACTTGATCGGAGATTTTTTTTTTGGTTGAAAATTCTACTTGTCAATGGTGTTAATTGGTTGTGCTTGTTTGAAATTTACAGTGCCGTACAAGAAGTTCTTCCTCCCTCGCTGGATTCTTCTTCAGAGCCTCCACCTCTCTTTGATGGAACAACTAGGTAGTCTTACTATACAAATTACACACATTATTTTTACGAGTTAATCTACTTTGAATTATTGGTTTATATACCGACTTTTCGAATCATGTGTTGTTGAAATCTAAATTATTGATTTTGGCAGTATTGTAATGAGAAGAGTAATGAATGCTTGTCACTTGTATTTTCGGCAATTCAATTTGTAGATTATTGTAGTAGTGTAGCGTGATTTTTATATGTACTTTGTGTTGTAGCGCATGAGTTATCATTTGGTGACCCAATTTGAGTGTGTGTATGTCAATTGTATGATCTATCGGGTCTTTGATGAAATTTGAATTGTTAATTTTGGTAGCATTATACTGAGAATATTAATGGCTGTTTGCCGTGTGTATTTTCGGTAATCCAATATGTGAATTATTATAGTAGTGTAGCATGAATCTTATATTAACTTTGTGGTGTAGCGCACGAATTATCGTTTGGCGACCCAATTTGAGTGAGTGTTTGCGCTTGTCAATTTTGTATGATCTTTTGGGATGATGTGAAGTCTAAGGTCTTTGATTTGGATATGTGAAGGTTGTATATAAACTATCAGAGCCCAAACCTGCAAAATGTTAAAATCTGAATTGTTGATTTTGGCAGTATTATAATGAGAAGAGTAATAGATGTTTGTTGTGTGTATTTTTGATAATCCAATATCTAAACTATTATAGTATAACATGGCTCTTATATTTACTTTGTGTTGTAGCGCACGATTTATTGTTTGGTGATCCAATTGAAAGTGTGTGTTTGTCTCATCTTTTGGGATGATGTGAAGTCTAAGGTCTTTGATTTGGACATGTGAAGGTTGTATATATCAACTACTGTTTACCAACTGACTCGTTGAGTTCGAACTTGAATTGTTGATTTTGGTAAATATTATAATGAGAGTAAGAGCATCCACAATGCTTTGTGGTCAACCTTAAAAAATTGGATGCCACCTAAGAAATAGACCTAGTCTAAGAAAATGTATTCTCCAATACAAACAAAAATAGACTGGGTCCTGCTGATGTGGCAGCCAGAAAAAGAGACTCGGTCTACTCTTAGGTCTATTTTAGACCCAAGTAGAGATCTGTCTCTTTGCATTGGAGTGGATTTTATCAATTCTACATAGTTTTATCCATGTCATTCAAGACTTGGGTTTATTTACATGCCACATAGGTAAGACTAGACACAATGCATTGTAGATGCTCTAATGAATATATGTCGTGTATTTTCAGTAATCCCGTCCGTAAGTAATTGTAGTAGTGTAGCATGAGTCTTTTATATTTACTTTCTGTTGTATTGCACAAGTTACCGTTATCTGACCCAATTTGAGTGTGTGTGTGTGTTAATCATATGATCTTTTGGGATGATGTGATCATGAGAAGTCTAATTAAGGTCTTTCATTTTGACATGTGAAGGTTGTATATCAATTATCAGTGCCCATTTGCTCAGCGTGTGTGGATTGTGAGGAACTATAAGGTGTGTCATTCGAAGAATTTTCCAACCTGATCTGGGATTTACAGGCTTACAGCCTTAGCTTGGTTTTACATTCCAATTCCCTGTTTCTCGGATTTTTTTGACTTATTGTCGATCAAAATCGTTTTGTCTCCAAATGGCTGAATGTATCCAGGGTTTACATGACGAGATAAAACTGGTCCCAATTGACCTCCAAAATAGGCCTGCATGGTACAAGGAGAAAGTGTATCCTGAAAACAAGGTATTTTGTTCGTATTGGTATTCGATAGCTGGAATTTTCAGTTACTTGATATTTTATTGGTGTGGGAATAACTTCTGTATGTGGTTTTTGAACTGTATAAGAGAAATTAAACTGCTTAATGTAATTCGGGATTTGTTTTAATATTTCATACTTGGAGTTTATACAGGTGCCGGCACTGGAGCACAATGGTAAAGTTATTGGAGAAAGCTTGGACTTGATCAAATATATAGATGCCAACTTCAAAGGCCCATCTCTTTTACCGGATGTAAGATTGGAATGAATTTACATTTGTATCTTTATTGGTAGGATCTTTTTTCACTTCTAAAACACTCAGGACCCGGCCAAACAGAAGCTTGCTGAAGAGTTAATTGCCTACTCGGGCACGTTTGTAAAAAACGTGTTTTCATCATTCAAAGGAGATGCTGTTAAACAAGCAGGTGATCTAACTTTTTTTTTTTTTTTACTTTGTTGCTTTTAAAAATTAAAATTAATTCATGTGGCCACGTAAAATAGGTGCTGAATTTGATTACTTGGAGAATGCCCTCCAAAAGTTTGACGATGGACCTTTCTTCCTTGGTCAGTTTAGCNGTATAGGTGGATGCTGCTTATGCTCCGTTTATCGAGAGGTTTCATATCTTTCTGAATGAAGTGTGGAAATATGATATTACATCTGGCAGACCAAAATTAGCTGTTTGGGTCGAGGTACTTAATTCATCATCTTCTCATGAAACCGGAAATAATATTTGAACAATCTTTTTATCCTCGACCCCTCTGCACTCTCATTACAAGTTTACAATGTAAACACATCAATTATATCTGTGTATTTCTCATTACATTATAAACTCTCGTCCAGGAAATAAACAAGCTTGATGCTTACAAGCCGACCAAGTGTGACCCAGGACATCTCATCCCTTTATATAAAAGCCGTTTTTTGGTAAATAATCCCTCTTAGCAGTTGATGTTAATTTTTTCAACTTGTTTTTCTCTCTCTAATTTTGTCATGTCTTCTTTCCGTAGGCTTAAAGCTGTATGATGATGCTACTCGACTACGAGCTTACTGGCGCTATATTATGTAATAGATTCTAAATAAAATTCTGGGATGTGTTTGGCAATAATGTAGCTTGTAATGTGTGTGTACCCTTGCAACTTTGTTACTTATCAAGTATCTTTGTTTATGGTAAGTTAAAAAGTTATGATAGCCTGGCAAAAATGGCATTTGGTGTGTATATATGCATGTTATCCTGAGAAGGAATTTCCAGAGTATAATTTTATGATTAGAGGGTCATGTTGGAAGGAATCATTTCTAGTTGTAATAATTGTACCCCAGGAAGAAATTGTTGTACGTTGCTCTCATTGTGGTAAAAGTCAAACTGCAGAAAACTATTTGAACTTTGCAATGCAATTTTTTCAGAAGATGAAATTTTTAATGAACCCTCAATAAGTCCGAAGTATGGTAAGTTTTATGTTAGCCTGATTGCAAATATGTACATTTTCAAAATGTCATACTTTACAAAATTATTATAGATAAAAATGTAATATTAGTATAAGTACACATTTTTGTTCGTAAAATGTGACAGTGTCGACATGACATATGAGACTGCCTCTCACAAGAATTTGTGGTGGAAATATTGAGTAAAGGAGGCAAAAATAACAGCAAAAGACACAGAGAGCAGAAACCATAGCATAACTATAAATCATATATGTAAACACGAGCTCACTCACAAAACCATAACAAACTCCTGCTTTGCTGTTCATATCATGCAGACAATTCATCATAGCTACACACATTCTATATATAACCTGTACAAGACTAATCTTTTCTCCACCGAATCCTTCAGAAACATAAACCTCGAAACAATACGGCCACAAAAAAAGAAGTTCATGCATCAAAAGCAAAACTATCGCGAGAAACATTACGCAAAAAAAAAAAAGAAAAAAGAACATATCCTTTCATCATCAATACAGTCTTTTGGTCTGTTCTATTTCAGATCCTGCATTACTGTTCCTTGATTTGTCAAAGTCACCTTTCATCCTAGGAGGGGTCCCAAGTCTTGTGCTTGGGCTCTGATTGGGCTCCTCATCTGGGTCGTAATTTTGTACCGATAAATATGTTAGGGCCGTGACAACATCGGCCATTGCGGGCCGCAAGTTGGGCTGATCCTGGACACACATTGCAGCTATACCAAGGGCTTGGAATAGGCCNCGAACGAATTAAGAAGTTTTAAACAACAAGATAAAGAAAATAACTAGGGTAAAACTAGCTTATAGCTACTTATAACTTATAAGTGATTTTCGAGCTTATAGCTAATAGCTTATGACTTATAGCTGAAAAGCTAGCTTATATGATAAAAGTATTTGGTAAAACTAGCTGATAAGCTAGCTGAAATAAAATTTTCAACTAGCTTATTCGAAAAGCTACCCAAAGAAGCTTATGAGATAAGCTCAAACTTTTTAAAAACGTTCTTCCTAACAAACGAAGCTTATTTGAATACATGAAGTTTATAAGTTAACCAAATAAACTATAAGCTACCTTATTTGGTTACCAAACATAGTCTAGGAAAGAAACAAACATAAATGTGTAATTAGTTGCCGAAACTATTTGAGCTACAATAGAATAATGCAATGATTCATAAGAATATATTAGTCTTGTCACTTTAGGCCTTCACAGTTGTGGAGTTATGTCTTTCAAGTCATTTAAGTTTTAAGTTGATGCACATGTAGTTCTCCAAGAGCTTCCTAATAGTTAAGATTATTCCAAAAATACCTTAAAATTTTGTACTTTTCGCTCGTGGAAAAATTGTGAGAGGACCAAATTGCAACTCCAAAAACTTGAACCAGGAGCTAATTTGCAATATTTGCTTTTCCGTTAGTTAACCATATGAGAGACAATCAGTTCTTACTTACCCATAGGACAAGATTGTGTTCCCCGCCTTTTTTCGAAGTATCAACTGCCTTCCTGCCTGAGATTATCTCGAGAAGAACAACACCAAAGCTGTAAACATCCGATTTCAGAGTAAGTTGCCCCGTCATTGCATACTCGGGCGCACAGTACCCATAAGTACCCATTACCCTAGTCGAGACGTGCGTGTTATCTCCAACTGGCCCTAATTTAGCCAAGCCAAAATCAGATAGCTTCGGATGATAGTCCTCACCGAGCAGAATATTCGAACATTTTAAGTCACGGTAAATAACGGGCGGGCTAGCCTTGTCGTGTAAAAACTCGAGCCCTTTTGCGGCCCCGGCAGCAATTTTCATCCTCGTGTTCCAGTCGAGCCCTTTCTTGCCGGGCTCAAGATCTAAAGAACAAAAAATCAATATCAATATCAGGATAAAAATGTCTGTATTTACTTGAAATAGAAACTAAAATCCAGCCTAAAAAATCTAAAATTACTAAACTTGGTAATCTTTTTTGAAAATTTTCAAAAAAATTCTGCCTCTAGAAACTAATTAATCAATTTATGGTATAAAGTTGACAAAATTAATAAATCCAGTTTTTGGTATAAAGTGAGCGATTTTATTCGAGATATCTGGTAGGACATTTTATGTGGAGTGTAATTTTAGTAATCAAAGGAGTAATAATGGGGTAAATGTTAAAATTGGGGAACACGAATTGAAACATTTAAAAGTTTTAAATATTTATGAGGGAGAAGAAAGAAGAAGAGATTTTATTCTGCTCATATCAATTGACGATCTCTAACGAGCCACCAAATTTGCCACAACTATCACCTCTCAATTCTTCTTTGCTTTACAATCGGCCCCAATTTTTCGTTTGAATGTTTGTAATGTTAAATTTGGGTTAATTCGTAAAATTTGAAGAAAGGATTTTGTTTGAGATGAGTCTATTCAGTAAATTGGCCAATCAACAATGTATTTTTTTTTTGTCTTTTTTAAATTCTCCTGAAAATTATAAAAAGCACAAAACAAACTGAACGAATGCTCGTGGGTTGATGCAACATACCGTAAAGGTGATCGGCCAAAGAACCCATCGACATATATTCGTAAACTAAAAGCCTTTGATCTCCATCAGCACAATATCCAATTAGATTAACAAGATTTGGATGGTGCAGAAGACTCAGCATCAAAACTTCAACAAGAAATTCTCGATTTCCTTGCAATCCATTCCGGTCGAGTTGCTTGATTGCAACAATCTGCAAAATTATGTTTTAATTAATCATTTCTTTCAACTCAAGATCAACGAGAATATTTGGAAAATAATTTTAGATAACCAAAATGTAAAATTATTAACATACTTGGCTGGAGCCCTCCAGCTGTCCTTTATACACTCTGCCAAAACCTCCCTCGCCTAAAAGACACTCACTCCGGAAGTTTCTAGTAGCAGCAGCCATTTCGCGGAAATGGAAAGTCCTGGCTGCTATTTTATTGGACGATCCATCTTTGGAGCCATCTTTAGATTTATCTGGACAAGAAAATATTAAAAGTGATATTAAGCATGCATCAAGAAAGGTGGTGCGTGAAAATGAGGGTTTTACTGATCAATAGTAGAAAAATATGCAATACAGAGAGAAATATTTTGCGTAAAAATATTGACTGGTTTTATTCCATACTAGGCATTATGTATACTCAAGCTTCATCATATTAATTTCTCCTACTACTTAATGTTGATCAAACCGTAAATGCCGATATTNTAAAAGATAATATTTAAGTACTTAATGGGTTAGGAGAAGTTCAGAAAATTTGCTAAAACAGTAATGATCTTCAAATATCAAGGTATAGCTAACACCCCACATAAAAAAAGCTAATCTAAGGAAGAAAGATTATTTCGCATCATTTACAGAACCAACAGAGGATCAATTCAATTTTCTACTTATATAATTTATATTTCGTGTTCTCCATATATGCATCCTTCATGATGCTCTCACTAAAAGGTGTGTCTGTTCTATTCTAGACTTCTCAATAGAGTTCCTACAATTCAATCCAAAAAATAATGAAGAGAGATAATTCTCAAGTGAGTACTGCAAAATGAGATTTATACGTGAGAGACTATAGTTATGATGTTTAAGTTGACATAATGTAGAAAATGACAGGGGCAAACTCCATTTCAAAATGGAAATGTTACATGTGCGTAAAAATCATCAAATATTAAAAAGGCAAAGACAGCAGATGGAGCTTGGAGATGATATTTACTGGTTAAATGAAGAAAAACCAAATGATAAATAAAACGGTATTGTATTATTGTATTTTTGTAGCTCGAGATGCAACACAATTACACAAGTACTTCAGAGGTCAGCCAAAACAAAGTTCACCTAAAGGTTATTCCCAGTCGAGAAGGAATTAATTACTTGCAACACTTAAACAGAACACAAAGATCTTAAGGTTGTAATAACTCTTTCTTTAAGTGGACTAATTGATCATTAAAATCACGCATTTATACTCATCACTTAAACCAGAACGCAACGATCTAAATTTCAACATCCTGAGCCCACTTCAAAAACTTCATCTCTTGAATGAACAAGATTAGTATAGATCACAACTAGTCAATAGAATGAAGAAAAGGGGAAAAGGGGAAAACTGAACTGAAAATTGAAAAGCTGAACTATAATCCGAGCAAAATCACTCATTGCCCAACTCACATTTCAGATTATCCTGGCACAAACTAAAAGCTTCAACAACAAAAAGCATAAGAAATCAAGACTCCACCAATGTCGATCAAGACAAAGATTAGACCGAAACCAATCAAACCCTCTTACCATTATTTCACTCACAACAATGCTAAAAGAAACTATCAACACAGGGCTATCCACAAAATTACAGTAAGTTGACAAGTTTCAGCGCAAAACCCTTAATTTTTCAAATACATAAAAATCCAATCTTTACGCAGCACACACAAATTAGGTTAAATTGAAAGGGGAATAGCGAAGGACATGCCAGAAATAATGGACTCCGTAGTTTCAGAGTGTTCGTTTTTCTTTCTCGATTTACGCTTTGGTGGCCCTGAACATGGGAACCATCCCATTTGCTCTCTCTCTCTCTCTCTCTCTCTCTCTCTCTCTCACACACACACACACACACACACGCACAGAGAAGATGAATTTGATTTGAGAGCCGCCGTCTGCGCGTGGCGTTGAAGGAGAAGTGGCAAGGAGAGTGACAGAGAAAGGTAAAAAACTAAAAATCACTAAAAATAAAATAAAATAAAATATCTCAAGATTATATCATCATTATCCTGCTTTTTTTGGATATAATCAGCGTGAGTTAATTACAGCACACTTGATGCTTGCTTATTGGTGACTATAAAAGGAGACAGCATTTATTGCGCACATAATTTGGAATTCACCAATTTTTGGGTGTAACTAGTGTATATGCGATGCACGGGAACAATATTAAAATAACAATATTATAAATAGATCTCGAGTTTGAGTCACTCAATGACGGAAGTGGACCTCTTTAAAAAGAAGAAGAAAAAAAAATAATTATAAATTAAAGAAGAGGATAAACAATACTTAATAATTATAAATTAAAGATTCAGGGTCAAACAATATAAAATTATTTTATATAAGAGAATAAAAAAATTTGATTACACACCATTTCAAAATTATTATTATACTTTTTTGTATGGTTAGCTTATAATATTTGTAAAAATATTAGTAATTAGACCGATGAAAATTAACTTCTTAGAGTAGATAATGGATTTATAGTAGTAATTATGAATTGGTATCTATTTTATTTTATTTTTTCTTTTAAAGATTATTGATTTTTAGTAGTAATTATGAATTGATTTTTATTTTATTTTTTCAAATCTCTATAGATAAGGGATGAGATTTTTTAAACACGTGAGACATGCAATGAGATTTTCTAACAGAAGAGATAAGCTCGTGTAGATTTATACTAAAAATAGAAAAAAGAAAAACAAATATTTATTGTCAAACAACGGTTTTGATTAACTAAAAAACAGGAAAAAGAGAAAACAAATCTTTACACAATTAATGAGCCGATTTTTTTGTCTATTCATATTTGTTCAACAATTACTATATATAGGATATATTTAATGATTTTGGCGGGAAAAAGTTTCTAAATTTGTAAAAAGGTTATTCTTTTTATATAATGATAGATATTTCTAACCGACTCGTTACAAATTTTTTTAATAAATATATATATATATATATTATGTTTTAAAATATATATTTTTATTTATATTATTTTTTATTATATAATTTTTCAGTTTGAAAGTATGCATATTTACTAAAAAACTATGTCTTGATTTATCTAAGATTAACTTTATATTTGAACTTTTTTGTTTTTTAATAGGTAGCAATTTTTTTTTTTTTTTAATTATAATTGCTTTTTGTG